AGTCCATACTTTCCCTTGGTATTATATAGGTCTGCCTTCAGGTGGAGGAGCCTCTAGGCTTGGTGGAAGGAGCGAGAGAACTTGTTGAATGGACCCTGCCTCCCTAGAGATTTGACACAGACGTCCAGTTTGTTTTGGGACCAAAAAAGGCAGAGCTGTCCCTGGATGATGGAGAGGGACCTAAAATCTATGTACCCTTCGTTCTTCTTAAAAAGCAAAGGAGAAATGAGTGAGGGGCGTGTGATTGACAAGTGGAAGAGAGCATCCACAGACTTAGGTCTTTTTTACTGGCCTTTAAACTCAGGATAGTAACCGTATTTTTAAAACGGTTGAGAGTAGCACAGACCCCCAAATCCTATCTTGGGGTGGAAAGGAGACCGGAACGCCAAGCAGGCGGATCTCCAAGCCAGGCGGCGGTTCGGGGAGCGCTTCTGGTCCCCACCCGCGCGGGATGCGCTGGTTTCCCGGTCCTTGCTGGTTCACTGCTTCAGGTGCCCGCAGCCCCCGCGCTCTCCCGCTGCTGCCGCCGTCCTCATCCCCTCCCCTAGGCTTTGCTTGGCTCTGGCTTTAGCAAGCTCCTTTTCTGGCGGGGCGGTTGGATGCGGGGAGGTGCAGTGGGCAGTGGCGGCTCCCGCTGCGCAGCTGGGGACCAGAGGGGCCCGGGCGAGTGCGGGGGGCGGCGAGAGGCTCTGGCTTCTGTAAACTCTGCCGGTGGGGGGCCGAGCAAGGCTGTCTATGAGGAGGAGGCCGAGGTTGAGGAGGCCGGGGAGGGTGACGACGGTGTTAAATGTGGCCGCGCAGCTCCCCGGGGAGCGGCCTGAAAGCAAGTGCGCTCACCAGCTGACAGCGCGTGCTCCGCTCCAGACGCTCCGCACCGGGGCCAGGAGTCTCTGCCAGCCCCTCTATTGTCAGCCGCTCTCTAATTAAGAAACACTCACATTACGGCAAACTACCCCCACGCTTCTTGGTTCCTGTCCTTTCCTTTATCTCCCTGCGACTTCTCTCCTCCCCTGCCTCTCCCCTGCGTCCTGGGATTTAACCCATTCTCTGCTCCCATTTGCCTTTTCCAGTTAGGAGCGGAGAAGCAAAGGGGTGACTCGTTGCCTGGGGAGACCCAAGGCCTGGGGTGCAGAAAAGACTAAAAGTACAGTCGGCTTTCTTTTAGCTTCTCCCTACCCTGTGTCCTAAACCTTCTCAAGAAAAGAAGTGCAAACATTTCAGTTACCACCTGTCCTTGCCCGTGGTCTTCTCCTCTCACCAGCAAGCGCTCTGTCTAGGTTGTAACTGGCAAGCGGCTCTCTTTCCTCTCCTTTCTTGAATTTTTTAAGTTAGCAGGAGATTTATATTCCAGGACACACTTTAATAAAATTACAACTTTGGGGCTCAGTTTTAAATCTTTAAAATCAATAGGAAAATCAGGAGAGCTCTGGTCTCTTGCTGGTTCAGAATGAGGAAATTACTCCCCCTCCCTTTCTGGTAGACCTGTCATTCCCAATGCCCCATGAAGAACGTGTTAAACTTGCCTGTTGCCAAAAACAATCTTCCTTCAGCTCCCCGTGAAATCAAATAAGTTTCCAAAAGTGTGGTGAGCCAAAACCCTCAACAAATAAAAATGTTGGTTGGCTGAGGGCAAAGACAGAATATAAAACAAGCTGCTTAAAGTATAGAAATCTCTGGAAAACACCAGCAGTGTCCCAAAGAACTAACCCGATTTATCTATCTTCATTACTTTAAGAAGTGCTGACTCTTTGTCTGTTTGGGTGATATTAAGCATGCCTAACTTGCATACATAGTTGATGCCTTTGGTAGTATCTTAGATACTTGGATCTGACTTTGGAAGGTAGAAGCTAATTGCTAATAATGGAGAGAAAGGAACCAGTCAGCATGGCAGGAGTGGTCTGGCATATGGGGAATGAGCACTCAGAAATACTCAATATTCAAGTTTCCAAAATATTAATGAGATTATAGCAACCTGCAGCTATATGTTACAGCTTGTTAATGGGGTGTGGGAGAGTGAGCTGCCAAACGTTTGTTATGCAAACTTCATTGCTGGACCTTGGAGTGGATTTCTTTCAAAGAAATGCCAACATTAAAAAAGAAAGAAAGAGAGAGAGAAAGAAAGGAAGGTAGAGAGAAAGAAAGAGAGAGAGAGAGAGAGAGCAAAATGAAGAAAAGGAAAGAAATGGGATGAAAAAAATGAGGTTAAAGTTTTAATTTGAACTTTGAGCACACAATTTGCCACAAAACAGCAGACTTTGTTCTCATCTGGATGAGCTAGAAGAATTTTCTGTTGCTTTTTCATCAACATGATATAGAATTAAAGTTTGAAATTCTGGTATGATTGTTTCCTCCCTGAGAAGAGGCAAACAGGACTTCCTCACTCAGAGAGGTGAACTGGAATTTCTGCTCACCGCGACAGTAAACATCCATCTGGACTTTTAGACAGACTCAACTCCCAACCATTCATTTTTACTGAAGAAGAAATTTGTGGGTGGGCTCCCTGATCTGGTGATCAGGAGCATCATGTGTAGCCATGGATATTGGTATTTTCTGACTGTAGGGTCAGCTGCCATTTCATTATCTATAAACGCTGTTAAGGAGGGTGCTTCCCGTGCTGTTTCTTTTTTCTCAGAGTCAACGAAAATGACGTTGATGAAATCTTTTTCCTCGTTGGTTAACACAAAGTATACATGAGTGGCTTTAAAAATTTGGGTGTTTTCTTTGGGAGGAAAAGGATTTCCCCCCTCTCCTTTCTCATATTTTCAGCTTGTAAAAGAATACTAGCCACCACGCCCACACTGACACACACACATAGGAAAGACCACACCAAGCCAAATAATAGGAAAATATGTAAGAGTTGGCTCTCTGGTCTTGCTCATCTGTTTTTATCTGGTTTGCTTAGTAAGAGAGAAATGAAAATGTATCCAACGCAGTTGTTTGGCTTTTTGTTTTTGTTATGCTTTTCAGCAATATAAAGACTCCCGATGCTTGTCTTAGTGGGTTATCTAAGGGCAGGTGCATTGTTCCTTTCCTGGAAAGTGTCCCTAGCCACTGTGCACATCTCCCAGATTGCTGGCTATGTACAGAACTGATAAACTTTCCTGGACAGTCTTCTAGAGAAAGTCACCATACCTTAAGTGGTCAGCAGAGAGTTCTGCAATTCTTCCACAATGGAAGAAAACCAGTGCTTCCTGGGGCAGCGCTTTTTGTACCGATGCAATCTGTTAAGTTTTCCTTGTACTAAGGTGATGACAGAGTAGGATAAGAGAACTAGCAAACTAACCCCCCTTATTTTGTGGGGGTACCCTCATTTTGTTATGACAAGGACAATGAATTTGCTGATAGCTGACCCCTCAAATTCAGAGATGTTTACCAGGCACTTGAGTTTAGTAAATAGTGCTACACCTCAATTAGCCAATCAAATGCATTGTAAAAGTTTTGATTTCTACTCTCTACACACTCTGCATTAGTTTTCCTAAGATCCTGAGATCCCACAATAGATTCCTACCCCATATGGACACCTGGGATGAGGGTCATAGGTCACTTAAGTTTCTGCAGCTGACTTAGAATGTACTGGTCTGGTTTGTTCTGGGGGAAAAATTCAAGGCAAATGCTAGCTCTGTGTTGGAAGAAGTGAGTTTGAAAAGAAAAATCTTCATTGGCAGTCAGCAATAGTAAAGCAACAGCCAGGCTTCTAGTTTCTTAGTGTTGAAACAATGGTTGCCAACCTATCTTTTCCATCAAGTTCTTTTCCATTGTCCCCTTCCCTTTTTGAAGATATCTCTCCCTCTATAGATCATGAGTTGTATTGTATACCCGAAAAGTTTTCGGCTAATTTTTTCTGAGTATAAATAGGTAACCTCAGTGATATTAACCAGCATGGACCACCAGAGCCTCGGAGACAGAGGGCACTGGTGTCTCCTGGAGATTGTTGACTCTGTTGAGAAGTGAGGACACTGAAAGATTCTGGTCATCCAAAGGCAAACCATGATCCAAAGCTGGGTCGGTTTGATCTCACAATTTATTGTGCATCCGGAAGGCACTAGGTTTGGAACATTCTTCAAAACAGCAAATCTCATAATTTCTACAAGGCCACTTAAAATTATTTTTAATGTTTTACTGGAATAGAACACATGACAACGAAAAGGATTTTTTCAAGTTTATTTTATCATTTGTAAAAGAGCATAATACATAAAGCAATGGCAACTGGACTTGCTAAATCAAAATAAAATGATCTCAAGTAGAAAATGTAAAAAAAAAGCAAATAAGTAGAAATGGGTCTAAATACGAAATAATAAATAACTTTTCTAATGTTAACAAAGCAAAATAAAATTGACCAAATGCCTTTGACACTACATGTTTTTTTTTTAATTTTCATTTGCAAAAACAAACATTTGCAAAGAGTTTAATGATTATGAGTGGCTGTTTTTAAAATCAAAAGTTGGTCTGCAATTGGCAGTTGAGTTTCTTCAAGGCGGCACAGCAGCTAGTGTTGAAGTGCGTGCGTCCTAGGTCCGCTGGACACTCTCGGTGTTTAAGCTCTACAGATACTCTTATCTGCCCCTGCATTTTAACAACTCAATAGTCCGTGTTCAGTAAAGCACCGAATGCGGGTTTCAAGCAGTTGGGGAAACAACCTCGAAGACTAAGTCCCTTATTTGTGAGTGAGCGCAACACACTGGGATGAACGCCCAAGGTATAAAATAAGTGAAAGCCAGACCAGAGACAGAGATACGACATTTTAGCAGCATATTGGCAGCATGGAGTATGAAAAGATGTCACGTAAAGGTACATATAACGATACCGTAATCTATATACAGAGGAAGCAGAAGGTAGGAGGAATGGGGGCTGGAAGAGCCGCAGCCTTCTGAAGTCACGTCGTTGCTAGCAACGATCACCGCAGAGCAAAAATTAAAGGGTGCACGGATATTTGTCGCGGAGCTTCCCGCGCTCTGGGAAGGGCATTTGGTTGTCTCAGTTTTCAGGGAGCTGTTGCCTTCCTAACTGGCCTCATCAGAGTCACTGTAATGAGAGTGGGGAGAAAACTCTCCGTCACTTCTGTGGGACCTGGGAGATGTTTTGCTGGTGTCCTCCTGTACTGGCTGCAGGATGCCCCCGGGCAGCGAAGGTGACAGGTCCTTCTGTGCCATCATCGCTGTTAGGGCCCGGTCCTCAAAAGCTGGGAAGTGCAAAGCGTCCAGCTGCACCGAGTAACCCCCAGAGGAAGCTGGGGCAGAGAAGCGAGTCCGGCAAGCCCCGGGCGGGGTAGGTCTCGGGCCCCCTCCCGGGGCTGGCTGAGCCCCAGCTACCCCAGAGGCGCCCGCACCTCCTTCATAGGAGGAGGAGGCGCGAAGGTGGTGGTGGTCATTTTTGCAGGAGGCTGCCTGCGGCGGTGGCTGCTCTCCGACACTGGGAGTCTGCAACAACTCCGACAGAGCGTTGATGTAGATCTGAGCCATCTGCAGGGTCTCATATTTGGACAGCTTCTTGTCGTTGTTGAAGGACGGGATAACGTTGCGCAGCTGGTCGAAGGCGTGGTTCAGCCCATGCATCCTGCGCCGCTCCCTTGCGTTTGCTGCCAGCCGCCTTTGCTTCTGTACCCCATTCACCTGTTTGCTGGAAGGGGCTCGCTGGCGGCTGCAGCCCAGCTCGTCCACTACAACCCCGCCCTTCAGCTTGCACAGCTGTTCCCGCACTTTCACGGGCCCGGGGCTCTTGCTGAGGCCACCGCAGCCGCTCCTCCTTACCAGCTCACCCTGGCCATCAGCCTCGTCCCGGGGCGCCGCGGCCTCGGAGGCACCCAGCTCGGGAGAATGCAGCAGATACTGGGCGGCGCGTGCGGTGCAGAGGCCCTGCAAAGTGGGAGTCAGCCAGGCGCGTGGGTCGGTGCTGTCCAGGAGGGACAGTTCTGCCGGGTAGACAGGATGGTCTCTCGCCTGCAGGGTAGCAGGTGGCTGTGGCGTCAGCTGCGGGATGTGGTGCGGCTGGGGATGGCGATGGTGGTCCCCCAACTCTTTTACCTCAGCCCACTCTTCTGCATGCAGCAGGCGGGACATCGCACTGCAATGGCTCGGAGGTGCCCTGTTAGAGGAGGTGCTGGCAACCCAGTTCAACGAAGGGGAAAAGCTCTGAACAACAACAACAAAAAACCTCCCTAGTCTCTTCTGCAAGATCTGATTTTTTTTTCCTCCTCTGACCCTCCCCCTCTCACTCGGAGATCGCACACCAGGTCGCGTGCAACGAAGCTTCTCCGGTTGCTGAAGGCGCTGCGCCCCTTTAAAAAGCGGCACGCGCCAGTGTATCTCCCCCGGCTCCCCCCCCAGCCCCCTCCTTGCGCCAGTCGCGTGTCTGCTCAGTCAAAGAAGGGGGCGGGCAGGCGCGTGCGAGGAGCCAATCAAAGAGTTTTTACACCCGGAGAAAAGTTACTGTGTGCCGAGGACTCCATCTCCCGCTCTGGGGGAAAAAAAAATTCACCTTGTCCCTCTAGTCAGTTCTGGAAATTCATATGTTAATTGCGGGGGCTGTAATTCGACTCCTGAGGGTGTCACCTCCCAGGCGGCTCGAGTGCGGAGAGTGGGGGAGGAGCGGGCTCCCGGCTGGTGTCCGAGTGGCCCCAGCTCAGACGGGAGCCAGGGTAGGCGGCTCCCGGGGCCAGGCTGGACGCGTCTGGAGACTTTGAGCACCAGCCTAGAGAACCAGCCTGTCCTGAGGTCCCTCCGAGCCTGGATCACAGCTCTCAAGAAACTCGTAAAATCGCTCATGTTCAATGTGACAGAAATACATACAGAGAGGTGTGTAAAAAGTTCTTACCTATTGTATATTTAATTTGTAGAAGTGTTAAGTTGCGTCTAATTAAAAATCAGAACGAGGTGAAAATCATTCGCTTCTGGGGACGTATTTCTTAATTTTTACTAGGTCTGCATCTCTTGTTCCACATCGTACTTGGATTTTTTTATGTAATTTTTTTTTAATGGAAAGTAAAGCTGCGGTATAGTTATGACATATTGAAATCGGGACTGCTCCAGGCGCCTTGGAGCGGGTTCCTCAGTGCCTGTTAGGGTCTCAGTCTACAAAAGCCCTTCGCAGAGGATACCGTGCTAGGACTGAGATATCGCAAGAAGTCATGTAAAAAGTTTCAACACTCACAGCGTAGGACTCATAAACGCAGAGCCACAGGAGGCTGCTGGAATTAGTGCAAAAGGTCCTTGAGTTCTTTGAGATTCTGGGCATTTTGAAACTGCTGCCTCGGGAGGCCCGGGTTTACCAGTGCGCGTGGCTTCTTGCGCAAACGCCCAGAAACCACAGTCAAACCCACTTGTCCCGCTCTGTTTAGTTAGGGTGTTCACTCCCTCTATAAACCGCTCCCCTCCTACCTCTTTAGCCCTCAGCCTAGTAGTTTACCAGAAAGAGCCAATCAGAAACTTCCTGGCTCGGGACACGCCCCAGCTTGCTCACAGTGCTCTCCAGCTTGTGGCACTCTTCGTCCCCGGGGCACCAGAGTGGGTGGCAACTGTGGCTGGTGCTTTCGATTTTCAGGGTGGTTGCTATCTTAGGAGGACTTTCGTCTTCCGGCAGATGGTACTGCAGAAAGCTCCCTGGAACCTGTCTTTGCAGGGTCCAGTGCCGTTGAAATGTTCCGCTAGCAGGGACTTGATCCAACCTGCCATCTGGAGCTCCTTGTGCGAAGGATTTCAGCGGCTGGAGTAAACTAGTATTCATATCTCAACAAGATAGAGAAGGACAGACGAGAGTTCAACAGCCTTCACCTGTTTCTCTACTTCTAGTGTGCCCATTTACTACTGTATAGAGAACAGTCCCGGGGCTTCCAATGCTGACAGAAGATCAGAGAAGCCCTTTTCTTAAAGAGTTTGAGCTCTGCGGAAATAAATACTCTAATGACAGACAGGATAGACTGGCAAATCGAGAAGCACCCCAAACCTAAAGGACAACTATCGACGACAATAAAGAAAAAGATAATGTCTTTATTTGGAAGGTACAGCATTCTCCTGTATTTTTGGAGACTGGCCTGGGTACTGTTGAAGTCAACCAACACTAACTGTCAGTCATAATCTGAAACGCCAGACTTTCCAGTAAATGAGGGACCCAACATCGTCATTTGTGTATGAAAGGCATGATAAACATGGCTAGATAGCCATGAAAACTTCGTTCTTCATTTGGTGACTTCTCTGAACTGTTAGCTCAAAGGCAGAAGATTTTCACAAGATGTCAGTACCAAATGTGCAGGGTGCTCAAATTTTCCTTGGATTTCTATCCTCCAGATATTTTATTTACATTTTAGATTTGACCCCCAAAAAACTTCAAAATACTCATTTTCCTTTATGCTCAGATAGATTTAAGGACTATTGACAAATGTTTGTCAACACTTTTTATACCACTGGGATTAATTTTTCATATTTACATAACACTCACTAGTGTAATTTCTTTTTAAAGAGCAAATCCCATTTTTTTGTGTAAAGAAATGGATTACTTCAGGGCTTCTAGGGACTGTGTGTTCTGTAATTACTGGTATGATGTTTCTTTGGCCCTTATCTAAGGATCTGCTTCTCTTTGCTTTCTCCTTCTCCTTTCCATTAGCTGAGGAAGATAGGAGGAGTGTGTACCTGGGATTGTGCCTGCTGAATGTGAACAGGGTGTCCCTGGGGCAGTTTTGGATTGGGGTGTCAGAACATGGAGCAGAGTGAATATTCATGGATGCCGGATGGTGCAATAGCAGCTCAGCTTGAAACCTTCACTGTGTGTGGACACCAGATTACTTACAGAAATCGAATAGAAAAATAAATACTTGACAAAAATGTCAGAGGCTTATGACTATCAGAGATCTAGTTATCAATATATAAATTTACAAAGAGCTTGGGTTAAAATTTGAGATTTTTATTTGGATTTAAAGTTTTGAATACACATGAATAAAAGCCATATAAATAGATACAGATAAGGGTGTGATAAGAACTAGATGTATTTCTATGTATAGTCTTTTACCTCTCAGAGCCTGACATCAGCCATGAACCTATCCAATCAGACTTGAAGTTTCCAAACTGGTTCCAGGGTGCTTGGAAGACTAAGTTTCCAGAATAAAACAGGAAACACATGCACATGTGCTTGCACACATGTATGCACACTCACATATACACACACACATCGATAACACAGGCAACATATACACACACATTCAAAATATACATATACACACGCATTCACACACATTCACAACATACATACACTCACGTACACACACACATTCACAATATACATATACACACACATTCACAACATACATACACTCACATACACACACACATTCACAATATACATATACACACACATTCACAATATACGTATACACACACATTCACAACATACATACACTCTCACACACACATTCATAATATACATATACACACGCATTCACACACATTCACAACATACATACACTCACATACACACACACATTCACAATATACATATACACACGCATTCACACACATTCACAACATACATACACTCACATACACACACACATTCACAACATACATACACTCACACACACATTCACAATATACATATACACACGCATTCACACACATTCACAACATACATACACTCACATACACACACACACTCACAATATACATATACACACACATTCACAACATACATATACTCACACACACACATTCACAATATACATATACACACGCATTCACACACATTTATAACATACATACACACACATTCACACACACTCACATATACACACATTCACATATACACTCACATGTACACATACACATTCACATACACACTCACTCTTACACACTCTCACATACATATTCACACACACCCACACACACACACTCACACAAAGGGAGCGCTCAGAGAATGATGGAGACATGACAAAAGATCACAGAAGTCGGCTTGAAGCAGCTTTCCACAACACACAGGACAATTTCAGTCAGTATGAAAATAAGAAAGAGTACTGATAAATTACCTAAACTTTTGCAAAATGGGATCTATCAATTATTAATATGGACAGAGTAGATGAGTTCACTGAATGTTTGATAAGTACTACTTGCAATGTGGTACTTGAAGAATAAAAGCTAACACTACCACTCAGGACTTTGATATTGGCTTAATTACATGACTGAAGTTCACATTGCTAGCAACAATAGAAATGTACTTATTTGGCATGTGTTAGGATGCTGAGTCCAGTTCATTTCTACGATGATGTTGTTCAAAATGCCTGTCCCATAATCCAATTGAGAGGAAACATTAATCCAACCCTAACTGGGACGCACTGTAGAAAACAGCAAGCTTATAACCATTAAAACTGTCAAGATTCCAACATCGAACGTCACCAACCTTCCCTGGCTACCAGAGATTGAAGGAGCCTGATAACACAGTTGAGGCCTGATTCCAAGCTGGACTTTCTGTATTGGACCACACTGTTGGAAAACTAACAAAACTTGCCAGAGAAATACATGACATTTCCTTTCCTAGTTTCGAAGGCTACATTGTGGCTTCATAAGAGTACAATCCCCCTTTAAATGAATGTTAGGGCCACACTGACCTTATTTGCTCATCTGAACCAAACACCTTCCCTAACTAGGACCATCACATATGCACTCTTTCTTTCTGGCCTGTTCTTTCCTCGCCTAACTATCTTCTACTCAGCTTGCAAGGGAACAGGCCCTGACTCCTGTAGAAATAACTTCTTGCAGTGTAGCTCTTGTGGTACATTATCCTTATTTTCTTTAGTATTGGTTGCCATTATCAAATAACTATTAGTGTGACTGTTTAATATTTATGAATCTGTCTCCCTGCATCCTGGCTGGGGAGGCATTCTGTTCTGGGGTCTATTATGCGAGCCTCATCAGGGAAGCTGGCTGCCTTTCACCCTAGGTGAGGAATCTTTATCGCTTATTCAATCAGTGCTTGGAGAGGTGCTCTAGAAATACTTGTAGGAGACACAAAGCCACGCACTTCCTGCTGATGTCTACTTGCCGTTCTATGCAATGTCCTCATACCTTCTTGTCCTGAC